AAACTCAAAGCCCTCTTTCTCTGTCTCCAACCCCTTTATGGTCATTTTGGCAATAAGAATGGATTATAAGCCACTCATTTTCCAAATACTCTACCACTAGAAATGAATTATAATCCACTAAATTTACCAAATACCTTGGATTATAATCCACTTGACCTATAAGCTACTTGTGGATTATAAGCAAAGCGGATTGTAATTCAAAGTTGCCAAAAATGCTTTGAAAATTGACAAAAAATCATAGAGTATAGCACATTAAAATCGTGAATTTTGAATAAAAGAAAATTTAATTGTCATTGGGTAGAAAATTATAAAAAATGGAAAAAAAAATTGTGAGTTACAAGTCCATGAATCGTGAATGTTAAAGTACGCATAACCAAATGTCATTAAGTTGAAATGAACAATAATTGACAAATTATTGGTTATATCTCAAAAAGAACACGAATTTTAGAGTATACTTACTTGATTGCCATGGTGTTGAAGGTCAGAAACAAATAAAAATGAGCAAAAATAGTACGTTAAGCCCATGAAATCTAGAATTTTGAAATATGCATACCTACTTGCCATTTGGTCGAAATGAACAACAATGGACAAATATTCTCGAGTTAGAGCTCACGAAAACGGGAATTTTGAAGTACACTTTGTTAATTGTCATTGGATCTAAATGAAAGAAAATGAACAAAATTTTGTGGGTCAAAGTCTAGGATATTCACAAATTTTGAAGTATGCATGCTTGATTTTTGCCCATCACAATCAAGAAGCTTTTCATGAAAATCGCAAATTTTGATGAAATGAATGAAATTGGACAAAACATCATGGGCTATAACCTGTAAAACTTGCAAATTTTGAAATACACGTGATTAGATGCTATTAGGTCAAAACAAACAAAGATGGATAAAAATCATGGGTTATAACCCATTAAAATCAAAAAAATTTAAGTACACATAATTAATTACTATTAGGTTGAAGCGAACTAAAATTGAAAAAATTTATGGGTAATTAGTCCATAAAAATAATGAATTTTGACGCATATATAGTTAATTCGCATTGGGTTGAAACCAAAAAATTAATAATAAATTAGGGTTATAGCCCGTGAATTTTGTGAATTTTGAAGTATAAAAAGTTAACTGGCAATGGGGGCTCAAACAAACAATAATTGACAAAAAATCGTGGGTTATATATCTTATGAAAATCGTGATTTTTGAAGTATGTATAATTAATTATCATTGAGTCAAATAAATAAAAATGGACAAAAATCATGGATCATAGCCCATGAAAAATTCGAAAGGAACGAAAATGGACAAAAGCCATGAGAATTTTATAATCTGAAATATGCGTAATTAATTATCATTGGGTCAAAAAAGAAGAAAATCAACAAATATTGTGGGTCACAAACCATGAAAGTCACTAATTTTGAAGTACATATAGTTATTTACCGTTGGATCAAAATGTCCAGAATCGAAAAAAACCGTGGGTTAGCCTAAGATAATCGTAAATTTTGAAATATGTGTAACTAATTGCTTTTGTTCAAATCATTGATAATTTAAAAAAATTATGGGTTATATAACCTATGAAAAACATGAAATTTGAAGTATGCATAATTAATCGCCGTTGGTTCAAAATAAATGAAAATTGATAAAACTTGTGTGTTATATCCTATGAGAATCATGTATTTTAAAGTATGCATACTTAATTTCCATTAGATAGAAACGAATAAAAATCAACAAAAATCATAGACTATAATAGTCCATGAAAATCATAGTTATTTATTTCCACATATTTAGTTACTTTTGAGTTGAAATGAACAAAAATGAAGAAATAGCCAAGTAAAATTGCAAACTTTGAAGAACGCATACTTAATTTTCACTTTGACGAAATGGATAAAGATTGTGGGTTATAACCCATAAAAATTGCAAATTTTGTACGATAGTTAATTGTCATTCAATCAAAACGAACAATAATTAAAAAAAATTCTAGATTATAGCCCATGAAAATTATTGTTTTGAAGTATGCATACTTACTTACCATTGGGATAAAACAAATGAAAATGAGAAAATGTTATGGGTTGTAACTCATTAAATCGTGAATTAAAAAAATACATGTATCTAAATGTCATTAAATCGAACAAAAATGACAATGGATAAAGATCATGGGTTATAACCCCATGAAAATCGCGATTTGTGAAGTTTACATAATTAGTTGGCAGTGGGTCAAAATCAACAAAAATGGACAAAGATAGGTTATTATAACCCATGATCAAGAATATTAAAGTATTCATAATTAATTGTCATTAGGTTGAAACAAATAAAAATCGACAAAAATCATTAGTTATAGCCAATGAAAATCGTAAATTCTGAGATACGCATATTTTTTTGTCATTAGGTCAAACGAATGAAAAGGGACAAAATTCATGAGTTATAACACATGAAAATTTTGAATTATAAATGCACCTAATTAAATTGTCATTGGATTGAAATAGACAAAAATGATTAGAAATATTAGATCATAGCCCATGAAAATCATGAATCTAAAAACGCATGCTTATTGTCATTAGGTCAAAATGAATAAAAATTGACAATAATAATGGGCTATCTCCCAATTAAATTGTGAATTTTGTAGAAAGAAAATTTAATTGTGTCATTGTATCAAAACAAGCAAAAATGGACAAAAAACATGAGTTTACCCCACGAAAATCGTGAATTTTAAAGTATGCATAACTAAATGTCAACGAGTTGAAATGAATGATAATGGACAAAAATCGTAGGTTATAACTCAAGTAAATCGCAAATTTTGAAGTACACATACTTGATTACCATTTGGTTGAAACAAATGAAAATGAGCAAATATCATGGGTAATAGTCCAATGCGAATTTTGAAAAACACGTATCTAATTCCCAATAGGTCAAAATGAATGTCCATAGGCAACATTGTAGGTTGAAGCCTATGGATAACGCGAATTTTAAAGTACGCATTGTTAATCATCATAGGATCGAAACGAAAGAAAATGGACAAAAATTATGGGTTATAACCTAGGAAATTTGTGAATTTTGAAATATTTATATTTGATTGCCTATGAGAATCGCAAAGTTTTTCACGAAAATCGTTAATTTTGATGAAAACAATGAAAATGGAAAAAAATTTGTGGGTCATTGCACATGAGAATCACGGATTTTCCAGTGCACATAACTAAAACCCCTACCTTAAAAAATGTTTATATAATTGAGTACATATTTGAATAAGCGTATGCAAATATCCAATGAGTTTCCACTAAAGTTTCAGTGTTGGGTACAGGTACAGCACGAAAAAGACACGGGAACAACTCCAAATGGAAGTACCCATGCAACATATGGTGGAACATTCATGAGTCAAAGGCTATCAGGTCTAGTTTAAGCATGGAAATTACCATTACCAAGTCTATAGAATTAACATGAACTACGTTGACCAAAAAAATTTGAGCTTTGACTCTTTAGTACCATTTAGGATAAGCTTTAAAAAATTTAGCCTAGTTTTAAGCGGAGGAATTGTTTATCCTAAAAACAGTATACTTGTCAATAAATCATGATAGAGCAAATTAGAACTTGATGTTACCAAAGTATTATGAACAATACATATTGCTTACATAAAGACATAGTTACATGGTCCGCTATACATAGCGGGTCGTCGTACGAATTCGGCTACGCAATTCAAGACTTTAAAATTTTGGATTCGACAAGGGGTAGCTTGCTTTGATACGCAAGTTCGATATAAGATATGATATAATTTTTTCTGGGTAAGCTTATCATTTTTCAAAGCGTATAGTAGGAGATCAGAAACGAGAAAACTAATTATGTATTTCAATATTTTTTCATACACAATACTTTAATACTTTATTTTTATAATTTATGAATACATAAAACTTAAAATATCAAATATTGGATAGCCTTTTAATAAAAAAAATTCTATTTTGCAACTTTTCCCCCTTAACATCAAGTGCATCTTATGCTAATTCTGAGTTCAAACAATTCCATCTAAAATCCTCCAACATACTTGGAGAGTCCTCTAAGTTATCATTATTAGGATCCATATCACATCCTTCATATGGATCAGCTTTGTAATTATCACAAAGTGACAGAAGGCGAATGTTTAAATGGATGAATACTAACTTATCCGCCCTTTCACTTTTCAATCCACTCCTTTTCACACTATGTATATAGGAATAAGTACTCCAATTTCTCTCAGCTGAAGAGCTACAAATAGGCCTAGACAATATCTTCTTATTAACATCAGTTAAAGAAATAGTGATCTAGAAATTAGTTATTAACTTTGAATAACTTCCACTTATTGAAAAAATACTTTCAATAATATTATCGAAACGTATAAAAAAATCCAAGCACATGTGCATGATAACAGACTTGTAAATCAACTTTGGTCCCTTCATATTTAGAAAGTGTTAAGCTAATTTTGGGGAACCAATAGGTGTATCGGAGGGAATCGGTTCATAAATGTATAGGGAATCGGTTTGCATGAACTGTTCGACAGTTCGAGGGGGGTCCAGGTAATCGCGCAACTATGCACAAAGATCCATAAAAAGTAAAGTGGTCGTTGTTCCTGAATCATCGGCGTGTTTTTACAAGACATAATTATCCTGGATACATAGTAGAAAAGAAGTCAAAATCCCTCTTAGTAAAATAATAAAAGTAAAAAATAAAAGACTTTGTGTATGGCAACACTCAAGAATATATCATGGCATGACAAACTAAAATGTTCGTATGCGAAAATGATAAGAATTGTTGAATGTTATAAAATTTAATCCATCTTTGTGTTAGTCAGGACTATTGACCTATGTAGTAAAATGTTTTGATGTTTAAATGATGATCTAATGTCCATGCAGCAATCAAAATAATGCAAAAACTACATTTTCAAAAATTGAGCTAGATGGCTTGGTTAAAACCTAAAACAATTAGCAATAATCAAATATAAAAACTAAAATATAGTTTTATGAATATAAGAGAGGTTAAAAGTACCTTGTTTGTAGCATGGGCAGTAAAACCGTCACCAATAGTCACCACAAGAACACTCACCACTAGTAAAATGGTGGAAACGCTTGGAATCCCTCACCACAATCTCTTTCTCTACACATTTGGATGCTAACTTGATGAATTTATGACAATCCTCACAAATCCTGATGTTCTTCATAATTCTCAAGTGACCCAGGTAAGTAGAAGCATTCATCAGTCCAAAAACCAATGCCAACTTCTCGCTGTGATGCAAGAGTCTCTCCTCCTTATATTTCTCCTCAATCTCATGGAGTACCAATTTTGTATCTGCTACATAACCCATTTCCTTGAGCCTACTTACAAGCCCTCTAAGCTCCACATATATTGCTTCAATCTGGGGATGGCGTCGGCCCCCTGCTGAGAACTCATGAACCTGATTCCCAACTGCAATCCAGCTCAGCCCTGGTTCCTTCTTCACTCCAATCTTCTTCATCTCTTTCCTCACAGAGGCCGCATCACCAAAGCTCCCCTTCGCACTATAGATGTTGGAAAGCATAACATATCCTGCTGATTTATGTGGGTCCATTTCAACGAGCTTTTGAGCTGCCCTTCCCCCAATTTTGTCTTCACCATGTTTCCAGCATGCTCCAAGCAATGAACTCCACACAACAGGGTCTGCCTCGGTTGGCATTTCATCCACCAACTTTTCAGCTTCTTCAAGTTTTCCAGCCCTTCCAAGTATGTCAACCATGCAGGCATAGTGATCAAGCTGAGGTTCAACCCCATAAACTTGTGACATGGCCTTGAATAAATTGCGGCCTTCTAGAAGTAAACCGCCATGGCTGCAAGCAGTGAGCAATCCGATGAACGTTGCAGAATCAGGTGATATGTCCATATGCTCAAAGGCTAATAATGCTTCCCTGCAACGGCCATGGGCTGCATAAGCTTTGATGATTGAGTTCCACGACACCTGGTCGCGAACACCCATCTCTTTAAAAACCTTCTCTGCTAGGCTAATGCTGCCACTCCGAGAGTATGCATGAATTAGCGCATTGGAAAGAACTGTATCATCAGGAAACCCAAACCTGAAGATGCACGAGTGGAAAACCAAGCACTGTCGCTCAGTTGCAAGCACCGCACAAGCCTTGACTGCTGCAGACAATGTGTAGCGGTCAGGTCTAAAACCTTCCTGCCTCAACCGACAGAATAGAAGAATGGCCTCCTCAGGCTCATGGTCCGCACACGAAGTTATAATAGCAGTCCAAGCTACAATATCGCGCTCTTTAATACCAGAAAATATTCTATAACAGTCTTTGAAATCGCCTCCTAGAGATGAATAAGCTTTTATGAGTGCAGTCCCCACCTCAGCCTGTGAATCGTAGCACGCCTTGATTGCAAGGGAAAGCATCTGCGAGCACTGCAACAGGCTACAGCACGAGGATACAACAGCAAGCACTGTGGCTCGATCAAGGCCAACATCATTTGTGTTCATGTGAGTAAAGAGTTGAAGTGACCTCTCTGGCTTCCCCATCAGAAAGAACCCAGCAAGCATGGAGTTCCAAGTGATGAGGTTGCGGAAGGGCAGTGCACAGAACACAGACCAGCCATCATCCCCGTGTCCGTCACAGCTAGAGTACATCGTGATAAGAGCATTCCCTACGAAAACATTGGCATCAAAGGAGGTCTTAGAGGCGAGGGCGTGTACCTGGCGGCCAAGCAAAGATTGAGCAGACTTTGCGCATGAGCCGAGGACGGTGGAAAGCGCAAAATCGTTAGGCAGGTGATGGGGGAGCATAGAAGAGAAGAGATGGAAGCACTGTGGATGAAAGCCATGGTGGGAGTAGCCGGCGATGAGGGCGGTCCAGGAGACCAGGTTTGTTTGAGGCATAGCGTCGAACAGCTGGTGGGCGACGCTGAGATGGCCGCATTTGGAGTAGAAGTTGATGAGGTGGTTGGAGATGACGAGGTCGTGGTTATGGGGTGAGGAGAGGTAGTGACGGTGGAGGTATTGGCCGAGGGAGAGGAGGCGGCGGGCAGCGCAGGCGGAGAAAAGGGCGGCGTAGGGAGTAGCCGGCGATGAGGGCGGTCCAGGAGACCAGGTTTGTTTGAGGCATAGCGTCGAACAGCTGGTGGGCGACGCTGAGATGGCCGCATTTGGAGTAGAAGTTGATGAGGTGGTTGGAGATGACGAGGTCGTGGTTATGGGGTGAGGAGAGGTAGTGACGGTGGAGGTATTGGCCGAGGGAGAGGAGGCGGCGGGCAGCGCAGGCGGAGAAAAGGGCGGCGTAGGCTTTGGTGATGTTTGGGTGATGAAATAGGGGGGACTTTAGGGAGCAGAGGAAGGAGACCGCACGCGAGAGCTGGCCGAGGGAGCAGAGGCGGAGGATGTGGAAGCTCACGTCCTCCTCCTGATCCATGTTTTTCCTTTTCAATCAATTTTTATACCCCGGAAAATAAAATATATGTTTCGAGTCCATCGCACCTTGCTCTTTCATTCCTCAGGACCGGCACGCAACGTTACGACACCCGGCCCTTCTTCTTCGCTCCTTTAATAAATCTTGTTTTCATTTTATTAGGAAAAGGTTAAAAACAAAAAACAAAATTTTTAACGTCGTTGCCAGGTAGGGAGACTCGTACGGGCCATACGTCCTCACCCCCCGGTGTGGGCTCAGTTAAAGCTATAGCTGTAATTCACCGGGGCAATTAATGCTATATTTCCCTACTATATCCGCCGTGAATTCCAACCGCCGCAAAGAATTCATCAAGATTAACTAATGTGCTCGTAAGAAAAGAAATCGAAATGAAATAAATATTATTCCCTCACTCACTCGTTCATTACGATATATATATAGCACGTACGCCAGCCAATGTTTTCCGATTAATTATTAGTCCTCAATTACAATATGGACGACGCTGACACTTACATCGATCCTTACAAACTTGGTTACGAGAATTAAATCAAATTAAGAAGGGCGTTACGGACATAAGTTGTGAGTTCTGTAGCTACTGGGGAGTCCCTCCATCCCCAGCTCCGCCTCCTGCAGGATGGGCATGATGCAGCTGGTCGATTGGTTCATGTTTGGATGCAGAGGCCGGCCTTCCTCTTCCTTCCAAATCTCCGTCGTCCGAATAGTAGGGAGCATGATCCCTCCGATGCCTCGGCCTCAGGTAACGCCGTGCGCACACCTGTCCTATGATGCATGCCACCGCCGTCAAAACTGCAACTATGCCGAGCACCACAAACACCGGAGCAAACGAACCCTTGGAGTTGGAAGAAGGCGCCTTGGATGTAGAATGCGGGTACACCACCGTAGCTCGCTCCATGGTATGCAGCTGGATGAAGATCGACGACTTTAGATCGAAGCAGCTGCCAAGATGTATCGATCGGTCAAGATTTCTGTATGTCCCTATATGTACTCTTTTCGATCGTAAGAGGCAATTAGACGATTTAACTCGCAATGCGCGGTTGCTCTTTCAGGTGCTTTGAGTGAGGCCAAAGCCAATGAATATTTCAACCAAGAGGCACCTTAATTCATTCATCTACCTATGTTGAGCTTCTTATGAATATTTCAACCAAGGCACCTTAATTCATTCATCTACCTATGTCTAGCTTTTACATATTTATTTAAGTTTAATTTTCAGATTCTTTTCTCTAGGATGCAGTTTCAGGCTACCGCGTGCTTCCGAACTACAAAAAGTTAACAGAGCCTCTCTTATCAAGGAATGAATCGGCAGTCTATTAATGCTAAAACATATATATTATCTTATAAATTGCCCCAGTTTGCCCTGGGCCTCATTTAAGGCTGGCCATGGAGTTAACAGGTGCGCCTCCATTTAGGCCCAACACTCTCAGACGACTCCATATTCATCTAGTGTTATGTCCATATTAGGCCCCAAAATCTTTTAACTTTTAAGGTAACTGCCAGCTATTCCCCTCTCACACAAACCCAAACGTATTAACCACTTGAACTTATATCTGTTAAGCTCCCCAAACTTGTTTGATAAAACGCTAACCCAAATCCATTTTCACTTCATCTTCTCCAACGTCTTCTCCAACCGGCTCTTGTCAGCTGTAATCCCAAATTTGCATGCATCAGATAAATTTCCGTTAGGGAAGACGTTTGAGAAGATGAAGTGGAAAATGGGTTTGGATTAGGATTTAACTAAAGGGATTTGGGGAGCGCAACGGATTTAAGTTAAAGTGAGTAATGGTTTTGGGTGAAAGGGGTATAACCAGAAAATCATCGACAAAGTTAAATCAAACATAATATTTCCCTTATTTTAACCAAACTTTAAATAGGAGGCTTATTTCAATATCTTAATAAGATTGAGGAGACTGAGATCAATTTCAAAGATTTGAGGGGCTAATATCGAAACATTGAAGATTTGTCGGCTTATACCGAAATAAGCATATCTCTTAATCTCAAAACCTTAAAAAATATATGTGTTGATGTCTAAGATCACACGGTCGAGGAGAGCTGTCTGCTGATGACGAAGAGTAAGAGGATGAGAGATGGGGCCGACTCCTCCTCTGACTTTATGCATGATCCTTGCACTGGAATTCCTGATTCTTCTGCATAAACAAGAAGAACGAACCCGTAAGAGGGCGGGGCTTGTTTCCCCTGTGGTACCTCAGACGGTCAAGTCAGCTGGTGAGCTTGAGTGGGGTTTGAGGGAGAGTCCCGGGACCATTGAGGTCCTCGTAAAGGGGGTATTCTTTTAGAGTTACTAGTAAAAAGAAATTAGCTCAAGAGGGAGAAATGATCCCCATAGTTTAATAAAGGTCCAGCCTCTTCATAGAGTCCAGATTCAAAGAAGACAAAAAACCTCCTTACCTTACCCTCCTTCCTCCCTTTTATAGTCCTTTGCACCTGAGAGTCTAACACTTGGTTTTGACTATGCATAGGAGGGCGGTGACGGGGTGAGTAAATAGCCTCCTGAGTCATCCTCCACTTTACAGATGTCGGCTGGCGACTGGAGGAGAAGTCATTCGAGCACAGGAGAGAATGTCTCCAACATATCCCGGATTTGACAGGAGGCGTGGCGGAAGATAGGCTGGTTGCTTAGTCATTCTTGGCTTTACAGATATCGGCTGGCAACTGGAAATAAAGTCATTCGAGCACAGGAGAGGATATCTTAGTGATATCTAGGAAGTGACTTATGAGCAGAGTAAGTTGTTTATGCCTGAGATTTGTCAGAGTTGAGATCTTGATGGGATCGATCAATACTGTAGTGTTGATTGATGTATATTTGAAGGGAGCTTAGTTGGATCTTATCCCCTTAGTAGAGGCGGGTTAGTTTCCAAGTCGTCCCTATGATTTGCCGACCAGATAGTCGAGGGAGCTTCTGACCGAGGAGACAGCCGAGTAGATGGTCGAGCCGAATATATGAGGAATCGTCTCGATTATGAGGCGGACGGACTCTTAAGGAGTCGTCTTGATTATGAGGGATCGACTGATCTCGCACTTCGTGTCGGTAAAGATGACTCATCGCTCGGTGGGTCAATAGATTTGTTCTTGGCTAGGCTTTGGGTCGCTAAGCTGGCTTGGGCCATAGCTCTTTTGGGCCTATGAGATAGTTTCTCGATATTTTTATCTTTAGATGGCGAATTACCATAACAGATGGCCCTTTTCACTTGGAGTCGACTTTAGTCGGGTCTGAGTGAAATAGATATAAGCTTACAATCTGTATAAACTTGTCCAAGATTGCTGGGGATTCTTAGCCAGTTGATCGTGGCTGAAAACATGGTGTAGGGCTTTCTGTCCAACCATCATAGGAAGCATCGTGGACAAAACGAATGGCGCTTCATTGCCAATTTATTAGTATGGGATAATGTGCAGCAGCGGCGGTTGGTATTTCGAGCAATCCATTTCAGATTCTCAAAGTGGATCTTTCTTGGTCGCTTCAAGATTGTGCCTCTTGAATTCTTCTACATGTTTCTCTTAGAGGCTTATAAATATCCTAGGGGCTGAGAGGATTTTCTTACAGACTTTTTATCTTCAAAATCGTTGGACTTTGCGAAGAAAGAACTTTTCCATGGCTTCTCCAGCTCCCACTCCTAGCCATCGTGAAGAAAAGCTTGTCGTACTTCGGCGTCTGCGCTCAAAGGTTCTTAGAGATCAGATGAAATGCGTGTGCGAGAGATTCGACATTCCTCGAGCCTTAACACTTGAGGAGCCCCAGCTGACGGAGCCTGTATGCAATCATGGCGAGGGGCGAGTGCCATTGTACTTGGCACATCTGGAGCAGGGTCTGGCAGGGTTTGTGGCTGCCTCTCCATCCCTTTGTTAGGGGAGTACATACAGTTCTGGCGGTTCCCCCATGTAGTTTTATCCGAACGCGGTAGGAGTTTTGGTGACCTTCGTGGTCATCTGCTACCGAGTTAGAGTACGACCTAACATCAAAGTACTGGGTCATTTATTGAGTGTGATATCGACTGAAGGGGATCCGTACTATTTTTATCATATTGATGATAATTTCAAGCTCTCCCTGGATCTTCCTGAATTGGAGGAGGATTGGAGGGAGCATTTTGTGTGGGCTTATGGAGTTGATAATATATTTTCCTACGCGACCTGGCTGGAGGCAAACATAGAGGCCCTAAGGCCAGTTGCTCTTAACGATCTGGAGAATGTGGCCCTAGAGAAGATCCGTTCTTATGTTAGGCCTTTGGACGTGGAGGACTTGGTGGAGGACATGTCCATGATCTTATCTTCCACTGGCTTCGCGGTTGGGGCGAGCTCTCCTATTCCTCCGCCAATGAAGGTCTGTAACAGGAGGCTCAGGGTCAAGAGGGAAGGCTTGGCTGGGGAGTCTCGAAAGAGATCCAGGGGGGCCCTTGATAGGGAGGGGGATTATGATAAAAGGCCCCTCGTGATCTTGCTCCCTCTCCTGGTGGGACGAGGGATAGGAGAAGGGTCTTGGTCGACT